AGCTCAGAACCATGGCGCCACGCTTGAATTATTTGGCGCTAGCGCGACACGAATAACGAGGCGAATGCGATCGATACGGTCGACGTATGCTGCTCGCGATAAACTCAATCCTTCGTGGGAAGTATGTTCGTACGTGTGCGCAGCGCGAGAAATCGAGAACGCCTCGTATAGCGCGGCACAAGGCAAGGCGCGAACGATCACCGATCGTCGGCCGCCGATCATCGTCACCCCAGCGCGCGCCGGGCTCGACTCGGCCCAGCCCAGTCCGGTGACGAGCACGTGGTGCGTGCTCACATCCCGCATGCGAGCACCGCGTTACCCGGGCGGCATGTGGCGACAGGAGCTGGTACGAGCCCGACTGTTCTCTCTACGTTGAAGAGAGTTTCGCGCGGGTTGTCTCGCCGAGCCCCTCCTGCTGCCAGGAGAGCACGTGGCGCGAGGAGGTAATGCCGGCTGCCTCGGTCGGCCAGACCGGCTGGTTCGCCGGCGATGTTCTGTCATACCTTGACTTTCGCCCGTGAGGAATTTTTTCAACAGGAACGCATGCAGCCGCTCGCAACCTCATGACGCTGCCGATAGAAGCGCTGGTATCAACATCGCCAGCCTACGTACATACATACATACGTCGTGTACGCACGAGATTATGTACTGGGTGTATCGCGGAAACACGCGGATGATTGATTTTATATTGAGGAATAACAGAAAGACCACGTGAATGATCGAAATAAATTGATTTTCATGTCGATATGATTGTATCACGTGCAAATATAAAGTTGTAAAATGTGCATATTCGTTTAAATGTAATGTCGTTACGATATGAATATAATTATATAGATTGATGCTTCAATTCGATGTTTATAATAAAGTAAAATATAAGAATATAGAATATATAGAAGATATATTCTGTAATAAAATAATTTTTGTGATAAGAAATAAACTAAAAGGACACATTACTGAAATAATTCTTATCCTTCTGCAAGGACTACTAATTATTATTACTTATTAAAAATAATTATTATCCATAATCTATTAGTTATTATCTGTAATCTTTTAAAAAGTAACAAAAATATTCGACAACCTGCATCAAATTTTCATTTAAGCGCTTAATCTAAAAACTTTAAAATATCAGAATGTTACATAATGTAATTTTAGAACAAAATTTCACATATGATAAATTTATTATATTATATTAAATTCGAAGATTAATATTTGAATTTATCTTATTCATTCAATTTGTAAATTACATAACTTCAGTTTTTTGCCGTATCGTCGCCACTCACGAAGATCAACGAGACGTTGTCATCTCCATGTATCGTACGAGTCACCCTGTATAAATATATATATATATACATATACACCGCCCCGTGTGGGTAGCAATCCCCACTCTGACGCCCAGCGACTTTAATTTTAGGGGAAAACGTAATAACGTTCGATCCATTTGGGAGTCATTCTGTGGTGCGAGGTATGTGATTCTCGTACCATGCAGTTCGACGCAGATATGAGGTCCGAGCAACACCGTGGAAACTTGTGGTCGAAGTCGGTGTCGCGTGCGTCGTTCTAGCGGCAACGGCGGTGGCAACGGCGGCGGCGGCGGCGGCGGCGGCGGTGGTGGCGGGGAATCGCGCGTTATTAATGCTGATTTTGGGGAAAAACGGTGTCACTGTCCCCGTAGATGACGGCCCGCCGACTCCCGCGGGACGTACACGGGACGGCTGTACATTGACCACGGCCGCGCGTCGCTGCGCACGAATCTCCGGTGCGGACGGGCGCGGCCCGGCCGGATTCGCGCCGTGCCGGCAGCTCGCCGGGCCCGGTAGCCCTGCCGAAATTTCCGTCCACGCCGGAGTCAATGAACCAATAAGCGGTGGAAAGAGATCGCTGTGGACCAATGGGGTATGGCTGCGCCGTGGCGATGCTTAGGGGCCCGCGCGCTCTTCCTCAAAATTGTGTCTTTCCGATCCACGGCGAACAGAAGTGGCAAGGAGGCTCGTACATGGCGCGGCCGCGCAGCCGTCGAGATCGCGCGCCTACTTGGCATTTCTGTGTCCCTACTCGCCGCTCGGTTAAATTGTTGATTATGTCCATTCTGCCCGTTGACTGTAGATTACCAACGCAGGCCGCGTGTAAATTAGCGCGTGGAGAAAGAGCGGGGATGACCAAGATGGTAGGCCGACGGCACCGACGGTTGCTTAGCACCGCATATATCGGGTACTCGATCGAATTGCTGACTGTTCTACTCACTCTGTCGAGGGGAGTGACTTGTCGTTTTGACATTACGACATCATGCATGGCGATAATGCGTTGCGTAAGATACGACAGCTTAATCATTATGTAGATTATTAGATGTAGCGAGTAAAAGATAATGAGAAATTTTTTGTTAGAAATTTTATTCAATCCATCGATTAGAATGCATTGAAATGTACACACATAATACACAAATAATCTATGTGTGTAAGTATATTTCTATGTTATTTATTTTATATTATTAATATATTATATTCCATAAATGCTAGTGAAACATGCTAGTGAAATTCCTCTTGTTAATTTTTGAATGAAATTATTTTATATTATTCTGAAATTCATTCTTAAGCTCACAAAATTTGTTTCAGTGCGATAATATTAGAAAACAATCTAGTTTTAATTTTACTATTTCGACTAATAATTTATTCTCACGCTTACGACTACGACACGCAGTTTCGCCAAACGGAAATCATTTCGGACGAAAGTGGGTACTATAGGTAATACAAGAACGCGGACACCCTGACGACTTCCTCGCTCAACATGCTTCTCTGGTGCGAGGAGGGGCCAAATGAGACAACCCGCGCGAATGACGCTCAACTGTACGAGAGAGGAGAAATGCCATCGTTCATGCTATCCTGATAACTCACAGCCTACGTGCGCGATGTGAGCCACGCACTCTGCTCCATTGCGGTCAAGGAACACGAGACGCGTAAATGTGTGCGACGCGCGCAAGAATTATTATCCGAGACACGCATTTCCCCGCCGTGTATATCGAGCACGAACGATGATGAAAATATAAACGATCTCGCAAAAGTTTGAGAAACGTGGATAAAGAAACACGCTTTTAATGCCACGATCTTAATTTCCACCTCGTCATGAATCGCTAATTAAATTCGTGGCCATGAGGCCCGAAGATTTAAGCAACTATAAAAATACGGTTCTTATAAGTGATACATTGTAGTATCTTTAATGTCAAGTAGTAATATATTTAACAAATAATAATGATGTTAACAATTAATAATAATATAATAATAATAATAATAATAATAATGTTTCTCGAGTAACCAACGGTTATAATGGACGTTTAAACAAAAAGCGTGCCGAATATATCCTGACATGCACTTCAAATACATTATTTTTTATTTTTTCTCTTAAAATAATTTATTTGTTTTAGCAATATTTTGCATACTTATATTTATATACATATACAATAATAATTATATTTTATTAAATATAATCTACTGTATATAATAGAGTAATAATAATAATGATAATAATAAATGATAATAATAATACATGAAAGGCATTACCTGATGTCTATTTACGACGTATCGACGATCTTTCTCGAACTGCAAGAAACGTATTAATTGGGCGTGGTCCGTGGTAGCATCTTTTGAATGATACTTGTATCAGGATACTACGTAGCCTCGGAGCACACTTCCGTTCTCTTTTTTTCCACAGCGTCGTGAAAATATTATTGTTATTATATCGGCCGCGTTCCATTCTCCCCTTCGCCGTTTCATAGGCGTTCAATAACAATCCCTTTTAACCGAAACGGGCAGGAATGGCGAGCCCCCGACGACAACAACATCAACAGGATCCCATCTGCTCGCAAGAGCATGAGGACTCCACGAACGAGCTTCCGTAAAGAATATACGTTCCTTTGCTCCATACGTAATCTCATGGTTTGGATATTCGCCTTCTTCTTTCAGAGACAAATATCCGGATCGCAAATAATATTCTTACATTATATTACATGGAAAAACAAGCATCGTTGTATAACTACGAAGAAGATACAATGGAATAAAAATTTCTAATCGAGAATTACACATATATGCAGATATAAATCCGCTTGAACTTATTTCGTTTCATTAATAAGTTTATTCTCTTTGCCTAAACAATGCACAATTTCTTCAATCGTGAATCTGCGCTTTTAAGATCGACAAGATGCATTCGGAAAAATTAAATAAATTATTTTCCGCCCTTAAAGGGAAATAGAATCAAATAGATCGTTTCAGTATCTGCTTAATTCTTTTTCAGCTAATATTTATGCAAACTTGTTTTTTTAACTAACAGTTCTCTGCCCGTTTGACAAGTCAAGTTCTTCAAAGTGGCCTGTTCTTTCGAGAGATGTCGCGCGCACGGGTCAGGGTACGGAGCCTCCTTAGCTCACATGTACTCCTGATAGGTGTGAACCACGGCGCCGCGTGCCGACGCAACCCATTGGACCTTCGAAGGAGAGACGCTACCATGACTACGATTGCGTCTCCGTTAATCGCACGGTCGTCGTGCGCGAGGTCGCGGCTTGCTATCCGCGCGCGCATACTCAACGGGAGGGAAAAAAAATGGCAGCGGTGGGATTCGAACCCACGCCTCCGAAGAGACTGGTGCCTTAAACCAGCGCCTTAGACCGCTCGGCCACGCTACCGTTGACGATAGATCGATCTATTTTTTGGTTGTTGTCGCGTGACCGCCAGAAAACTGGAGTGCATCTCACGTCCTTGGTCTTGTTCAACGCGACTGCAGGCGAAAAGTGGAGGAAAATTCGACAGAGAGGACAGAAACTTTTTTTTTCTGGGGAAATAAAATATAGCGCGCAGTTTTTGCGCAAAAAGCGACTATTCTCTTTATCTCTTTGTAATATTGTTTATCTCGGAATAAAATGTATTATTCACGCATGTACGTTATTCTCACGAGTGAAACATGTCAGATTTCTTTAGATGGCGAAGAAGAGGGAAGAGAGCAGTAAAATGAGTAAGAAAATGTGCTCAGTGCTTTCACGGAGCGCGGAAATGGAAATTTCGAAAGATGCGTAAGAATGCCAACCGAGACGAGATTAAGAATTTTTCGTCCACAGCGTTGAAATCTGAACCGAATAAATTTATAGCATCGATTCACGTGGAGGAATTCAAATCCCCGGCAAAGCGAACGCCGTGATTTCGATCGTCGTCGTCGTTTAATTGATCGCCATCGCGTCGTCCCGCCGTCGGCGATACTCCCCCGCGAACACCCCCGATAGATCTCGCGGATCTGGAGTGAAGTGATGAGTAAGTGATCCATATATAGAAGCGTCCCCACGTTCTACCAACACGGACGCGCACCTGTCACGCATATATACGCAGCGCGGCCGCGGTGGAGCGCACTTTTTGTGCTTGAGCCTGAGTCGGTGGAAAGTCTGCTCTCGGCGCGTGCGGAAAATAATTTTCGGAGAGGAAGCCTGACGAGACGAGTTACGCGAATCCGCCATGCCTGGACGCCCACTCTGGCAGGTAAGCGATGCGTCATTTCTTGACATTGGAACGCGATAAATGGACCGCGCCGTATCGCGTGTCCTCCCTTTCCTAATAATCACATCCGTTTCTCCACTTTATTATTTAATTGTAATCTGTAATTATCATTTTATTACATTGCATTAATTATGTAGATAGTTTGTGCTATAAATTTCATTATATTTGGAGTCGCATTTATTCTCTAGTTTGCTTTACAAAATGTGCTTTTTAAATGGAGAATAGCTCTCTTTATTAACAAAGTTAAATAATTATTTTATTACTTAACTATATATAATTTAATTATAAAATATGCAATGTAAAGATATTGACATATAAAGACAGATATTGTATATTTACATTGATTACGATTAACTTAAATATATAAAAAATTATAAAAATTATAAAATTATAAAATTATACAATTAAATTCATTTTATGTTGAGTTATTATATTTTTATAATTTTTATATTTTTATAGTTTTTTTTTTATCATGTTTTGATTATTACATTTTACTTGAATTGTGATGGTATTGTCATAAAATAACAAAAATGTATAATAATAAAATATTTTATAAGTAATAATATAAGAATTGTAAAAATTATGACAAAAATTACAAAGAGATACTTAAAAAATTTGGAAAATAATTATTTCCTTAATTTCACTGGAATATATAAACTGTCCATGTGGAACAAATCAAAATGCGCTAGAAACATTGTGATTAGTTGCTATAATTAATTGTGATTAATTGTGATTAAAACATTGTGATTAGTTGATATAATTAATTCCATTCTATAGAAATCTAAAATAAATAAAATCGTCCATGTGTCATATTTTTCAATATACTGTTCTTATATATTTATATATAATATTTATATTCTTATATATTTTTAACAGCAAAACTTTTCTATTTCAAAACTCTGACTCACAATACGTCAATCCACGAAACATTCCAAACCGCGCATTGGCTGCATTGGCCGCGCAAGCTAAGTTCTTGATTTAAGAAACACTTTTAACATTATGAATCATCAACCAAAATTTATCGCTGTTCCTGTTTTCTTTAAGCAATCAAATAATTTTCAAATGTATTATCAGATGAGATAAAATTAAATTGGGTGCAAATGATATTAAATTTCAGAATAGGCAAATTTTTATGCAATATACTTTATGCGAATTGCACTTAAACTGAACATTACATTAAACTGAATATTATTATAGTATTGGCAAAAATTATGTCGAAATGTCAGTGGTTAATAATAATGAGTAGCCGAAGCATATAAATTCTTCCCGGGGAAGGTTGATTTCCGTTTCGGAATAAAGTGATATTCCGTGACCTGGGTCCAGCCATGATCGCTGTGTGTGCCATGGTGATCCAGAAATAAACCGAAAGGCACTCGGATTTGCCAAGGAAAGCAAAAGTTATAGGAATTAAATTTTGCCGCGCCAGAAACGCGCACATTGGCGCGCGCGCGCGCATGCGCGCGCTCATTAACTTCCACGAAAAACCAAGAAAAGCGTGTCACGGATGACGTGGTCGCGGGTTCCCGATTTATTTACTAACAGTGATGATTATTCTTACACTCGCGTGGGTGCAAAGATAAGCACGACGGGCGATGGAAGACAGATCGTAGCAAGAACTCTTGCTAGAACGCCAAAAAGTTCTTCGAGATACTCTCTAATTAATAATTAACGTTTCTGTAAAAATAAAAATATACATAAGAGATGAGAAAGCAAGTTGACTTTGATAAGTATTTATCTTGAATACATAAGTTCAAAAAAGTAAAAGAGATTACTAAGCATCTAAGATTCTATCTTTCTGAACATTACACTCTTCTCTATTGTTTATACATATTATTGGCTTGCGTATCTCGTGAATTATTTAAATTAATTCAAAGAATACAAATTTCAAATTCATCATATCGCAATTGATGCTTTTTATTTGTGACCTATTAGATTTGCATTGATAATTGCAAAAATCTTTTCAGTAACGTATTCGTTCAAGATTATGTTTTAGGATTAATTTCATTACCGTAGCAGTATTAATGTATGAACGAAAGAGTCATCATGAACATTGCATGAAATTGGCTTAGTTCCAAATTGTAATGTCGGTATTTCTTTAAGACAGTTTCCTCGTAACATTTGTTTGCTTGTAACATTAGCATAAATTTCATACTTATATACACATACACATATAATGAATTTTAAAGGTACAGTAAATATTTTTTTATAACAAACTACATAAATTAACAAAGACAGATAAAGATTATAAAAATAAAATAATTTTCTGAATGATATCTAGATTTATTTAAATTATTTATTGATATATAAATGTATTACATACATACAATGATTCAAATATGATATAAATTTGTAATGCCTTAATTAGATTTTTCAATTTATCGAAAAGATATAAAAGACATATATTTTAATTTAAAAGATTCTGATATAATTGGAAGCGGATTCTGATATAATCTATCTATAATCTATCATCTAATGCAAAATATTACATAGAGGTAAAGCTGGTTATTACATTGTAAAACTTAAAACTATTTTTAAATATTCTAAATTCATAAATTGGTTGGATTTTTTTTTGTATATTAGTATGTGTAATATTGTAGTGTAATGTTATGTTTTATGTGTTACATATTATGCAACATGTAGTTTGTATGTATGTATATGTTTAAATAATTTAATAGCGTACACATGTTAATGACTGATATTATATGTTTTTAATATATTGATGTCTTATTTAATATTTTGTAGTTACCGTTATTTTGTGTTACTGTTTTATTTTTAAATCGATGAACATTTGTAGTACACGTATGTAATTATGTGTATATACTTGTGTATTATATTTGACGTATTATATTTATCAACGTCATGTGTAATCGTGCAATAAAAATTGTTTGTGTAAATGATAACATATTGTATGTGTATATATGTAAAATAGGATTCTTTATAAAATATAAAGCATGTCTTTGTAATATCATGAATGATAAAAAGAGCTTGTACTTAGGTTTACATGCAAACTACACAACTCTGTTATAAATTCTCATAATAGAGAATATAAAAAATAAATTCTTCCGTGACTAGATAAAAAGCTAATAATTAACAAAAAGGAATAAAATAATTAGCTGTTAATCAATATCTAAAATCGATTAAAAAAGCTAATAAAAAGCTATCGATAAATACTGCCGAGATGCAATGGTGGAGTGATGAAATGGAAGGCTATTTAAATTCTTATAATTCTTATAAAAAAGGAATATTAACATAAATTATTCAATCTTACCTATGTCAATAATAATCAATGATAAACGTTATTTGCAAAATTTACGAATTCGAAAAGTACTTTAAAAAGCATATTTTTTTATTCTTTTACGCACACACACATTTAATACGCGCAGTTAAAAAATACGATTATTCCAATGTTTTTATTGTATCATACTCCATGTTCGATGGTCTGACCATCCAGTCGTTATACATGCATATGATACACACGCATTAATTTGTTTCTAAAAAAAAATTTACATATGTCGAGTATTTCCAAAACCGCCGTGACCAGCCTGGCTGGCACCTTTATTGTATCCCATCTGAAGATTCAGGTGACCCTCGCTGGCACGAAGCTGTTCTTCACTAAAGGTTCTTTTGTTCTCATCTGCCATCTTCGGTCCTAAACTTGGTCCGGTCCAATTATGCTTTTGCGTCTATTACAAATAGATTTCCAATCAAATTTTACTATAAATTATTATAGATAATTAGAATTATAAATTATAACATATATACGCTCACTATGTTGAGCATATATATATCTATTAAATAAAAAGTTTTAATTTTCTTATATAGAAAGACTTTAATATTTTCAGTATTTTAGATGTGAAAAAAATATTGTCTATTATTCTAAAAAAAAAAGGAAAAAAAACAGAACAATTTTCTAAAAATCGAAATGTAAAAATGTTATCAATCAGAAAAATTTCTTTGTTTTTTTACATTATACGTATATATTGAAAATAATAAATATTTCATAATTTTTAACCATACAGTCTTGTTGTAATTGATCAAGCTACTATCATAAATTACTCACAATTCTTCCTAGCGCGTACAAACAAAGGGTGACTTGAGGGATATTACGTCTTTCGAAAAGATCCGCAGTCTGAAAAATTTCTTCTTGCGGGACGCCATAGTTTTTGATTGCCGCTTGGAATCTATTAACAGACAAATAATATAAAGTTATGTGAAAATTGTTATATGAGATTTAGATCGAAAGAAAACGGATCGTTCTTATTCACCTCTGAATATTTTCCATGAGCTGAAAATTGGTACCCTTAGTTTGAATCTTTTTAACTGATCCGGGCGCAAGTTTGTTGATTAAATTGCAAAGAATCACACCGTCTCTCAGAATGTCCTCGTAGTTTCCAGGTGGTAATTTCTCGCCCAGTACAGCTTCGATCCAAGCGAGGACTTCAGCTTCCTGTTCCTTGTTGCGACTCTAAAAATATAATTATTTATAGATATAAATTAATTTTTTTTATGCAGAATAGTTTTATACGAAATAATGGTTTTTCTTTTTGACATCTTCTGTCCCGCCGTGAAAACTTAAAACTATTTTAGATAAACGCATTTCCACGCTGATCGCGTATATGTGGATATCGTAAGAGTTTTCTGGATGTCTTAAAAATGGCTGTATCAGAAATAGATCGCGGTGAGTGTCGGTGTAGGATTACTCGCGTAAAGTCCAACATCGAAAATAAAATACGGCGTCTGATGTTTTGGCTTTTATGAAAACTGGCAAAGCGGCATTAACTATCGAACACCTGTTTTGCAGGCTCGTGTGAATTTACGTTTATAATGAATTACATGTATAAAATGGACTATCCTTTGAATTGCTAAATAGCTGAAAGAGCAAATCTTTACACTGAAAAGAAATACAATATTTTTTTCATAAATTACAATATTATATGACCGTTAAAACTTTGCATATAAAATAATATTATGACATATTATGACTGCCTATGAAGCTCGTAATTACTTGCACTTTAATCAGACGCATAAATTTTACAACAATTTCACGACAAATGAGTTCCGTGAGAAACGAGCGACAAGCATCGTAACAGCTTTCGCGCTTTTGGAATTTCTTAACGTTCACACGAGACGATTTATGATACGAACAGCTGCCTGACGCAAATGAAATCTGGCATCCTCCGGTGAAAACTATAAATCAGTATTTATAGCAAAATTAAACCGCAACCCTGAAAATTTCTGAAAATCGTATTCGAATACGTATTTCCGCGCGATAAATATCGTCGTGATCGTTTCGCGATTCGCGATTCGTTCAGCCGTGCGATATTTTGGGAAGCGACGATGATGTTTGGATATCGTCGATATATAATGGAATTGTGCAATTTTGTAATGGCATCGCGATCGCTCGGCACTGTGGGGATTAGCGCAGCTGCGCGAAGTACCTATATCTCGACACGTGGATTTAGCCAAAAAGTCCTGCTCCGAATAACGGAGGCGACTCTCTAATTGACTCTAATTTAGCACGTGATTCGCATGATGTATTGTACGATTTTCTCACGATTGTGCGACAAACGCACAAACGTTTGTATCTATCTATTTTCAGCATCACATCAAAGTAACAACATCACAGATGACTGAATTTGAATTTACGGAAATCGGAACTGCACGCAGACGTCAAACGGACGTCAACCGACGAAGACATGTTTTCTTTCCCCCTTTTTTTTAAACCGGAGTAAATTTGCATTAACGGGGTAAATTTAACAAGTCATGTCCAGAGTAAATTCTCGTTACACCGATTATCAGCCGTATGATCGACAGACGTTTTCGTATTGGCCGCGAAATTACATTGATTCAGAATTTCCGACTTCTTATCTGTGAAGTGTCAGACTCGTCGAGGCAATGTGTTCCTCGTCACATCCATCTCGTGTGGTGGTATTTTAAGCTCCATTTTCAAGGGGAGCGGTTTCCGTTCGTACCGGAGCGGCCTCGCCGTTTCCGAGAACGTTTCGCGAACGTGATCGCGGGACGCCGCGATCGCTCACTAAATTTAAAGTTAAATTGGGTGGGTCGGCAATATGATTCTGCATCTCCAGCGAATTGGCTGGCGACAGATCAAGCCGCGCACCTGTGCCGTAGATGCATCGCGGCGTGTCGACTTCGCGCATGAATTGAATATTACAATCGAGCGTGACGTAGCGGAGATCCTTCAGGAATTCCTTCCTGCGAAATTCCACAAATCTACATTCATTTCAACATAATGGATTATAATATAGAATAAGACATAAACATAAATTAAAACATAAAGTAAAATGAAAACATAAGCTAACAAATGACAATCGATCGAACTAACAAATAAATATAATAATGAGTGATATATTAATTTAATGAAAAAAAGAAGGAAAATTCATAATAAATTAGTTGCTTTTTAGATCATTACAATTGCATTGTAGCACAATATTTTGTGTTATTTCAAATGTGTACAAAAAGATTATAATTAACACTACTAACTAAATGATCGATAATATTAATTTTTAAAAAAATAATTTAATTTATTTTTGATAATATAAAGAACTTTATAGAAATCGAACATCAAACTCCTCTTCTTAATATAAGAGAGATAAAGAGTGTAGACTTTTCTTACTGCAAAAATTGCACCCGAAACCACACTCGAATTTTAGTTAAATTGAGAAACTCATCGTTCAAGTCACCCGCTGATATTCTCTAAATCTGTTTTCCTTCCACGCCTTAGGATAACGTCGAAAAGTTAGTGTTGCATAACGTTATTTATGTTAGGATATAAATACACCGGATGTAGAGGAGAGACATACATCAAAAGGGAGCATTGACGTAAAACGATGTATCAGAGTGATAAATTGAATCGCAACTATAAATGTAGGACTGTCATATATTAAAAACTTTTAAATGATCGATGATATCCGCCTGTTATAACTGAATAATAAAAATTGTATCCTTCTAATTGATTTCTTAAATATTATCATTAATTATTGCGCGTTTTTTATAAGACAAGAAGAAACAAAAAGCTATTGTGATTTTCACAATTTGATCAATTCGTATATTACGTACATTTTACACTTATATATAAAAAAAAATAATAAATAAATTTGTATTAAAATATACAAGTGTATTTTTCTTCTACTTAAAACGTCACGTCGAATCGCGATTGCTTGTCATCGTCGGGGAAGGCAGAATAAAAAAATACGGCAGCATCTCGCTTGCCCTGAGGGAAAACGTACCGGCATTTTGTTGTTGGACTTATTTCCTCGACGACGATGACTTTTCCGAATTGACGGCGTGTGACTTTGAAACTTCGATGTGATGTCGAGTAGAAACTAAATCGGACGCCGCGCGTCGCGACGCTATATGGCGTCATCCCCTCCGCTGATATTTAAGTGCTTTTGGCTGGTCGCCCAGTGTTTTCGGTGGGTATTCCCACACCCCCGCTCGTAACCAGATCTTGACATCGCGGCCCTATTTACAGGACGTGGCCCTAAATTAAATTACGATTCGCCGTATGTTCGGACAGACATACATTGCAAGAAAATCATCTTGGCGCATCGTATTTTATACCGTATTTTATAACAGGCACTAAAAAAGCGCAACGAAATAATTAATTAAAATTTCTGAAAAGAAAGAGGAATAACTAAAGATTGGAGAATAAATGATGATGTTAAACATTTCAAACGATGTTGCATATAAATCTTAAATCAAAGTCACAAATATGGAAGAACATTGTAATAATTTAATTAAACAAAAGTGCAAGTTTTAGATACGAATAACTTTATGTATTCTTATAAATTAGTATAAATTAGTATAAATTAGTTTAGAGAGTAATGTGTGTATTTCTTTTTTGTTTACGGCTCAAAAAGGCTACTTTTGACAGTTTGAGTTTCATGATTTGACAGATTAGTCAAAAAGTTTCCTTACTGACATACACACAGCTGCGTGGCATCTGATGTTGCGCTCTATTTTTAGTGTACGTAGACGGCGTGCTGCAAGAACGTTTAATCTTAAACATTCAACTTTAGCATTCGCAATTTAATTGATAAACAATTTAGGGCTTATAAAGAGTTAGTTTGACGACTCGTAAATTCGTAGAGGTTGTTGTTGTGCTCGATTTAGGTCACGCATTAGCTCGCGAGGCGATTATTCCTGTGTTTCACGTAACGTAAAGAGAAGATGATGGAAGAGAAGATATATATTTTATACAAACTTCATTGTTTACTTTGGAAAATCTGTGTGTCTTGATTTGTGGATATCCATTTGTTATTTAATGTTTGAAACGTGAATTAAAAGAGGAGATGTTCATTCTAACTCTTCGTCAAACTAGGCGGATGAAGCTTGAAGATGGAATGACGAAAGGTAACTTGCACTAAACGCTTGCGAAATATCGTTTACGATTTCTGACAAATTTTTTTTTTTATATAATCTTCTCGTAATAAACGCATTCGTAAGGAACAGCGAAGCGGAAAAATTCGAACAAGTGGGTGTAATTTGCGCGAAGTCATGCATGTTTAAACATATGTGGACATTCGCCAGACGGAAACGCCGATACGTAAACGTCGTAATTTCTGGACTCCGGCCACTTCGAAGGGTGATGCCACTGCCGAGTTTAGACTTCGTCAATCATCACTGTTTCCAAGTTTATCGTAACGCAATCTGCGCATCTGCGTAGATGTGTCTGAAGCGATGTTTTGATGTGTCCGTCTGCGCGAAACTTTACGTAATAAAACGCAATAATTCGATAATAAATGGAGTATCACCGATAATCCATTGAGAAAAAGATAACCTGTTTTGTTTAGATAAATCCTTGAATATTGACATGGTGATAAATGCCCGATACAGCTATTTAGTAGGACGTTAGAGAAAATCAGATATACAATACAAACAGGATTATTTTTTGTCAATGACTATACATTTTGTGGATTTGCAATTAAAATAGAAGTAACAATTAAAAAAAAATTATTTTCTAATTAATTATTAAAATAATGTATGTTATATTGAATTTTTATTTTGTTCCATGTAATATATCAAAATATATCAATGTTATTTCAGTAGAGTATTACCAAGCAATGCCATCTTATCTTATTCTATCTTATCTTACTTTTTGAAATTTAATTCCTCGGTTACGTTACATTGATTCAATATTATTTAATGAAATTTATACTAATTTGAAAATGTAATTCATAATAAAATTTTATTAATTGTAATATAGTACAACGATTGTTTAATATTTTAACATGTTTGATGTCAGCATCATACATGCGATACATCACTCTCTCATGAGACACTGCTGTCACATAAGTATTACTTACTATTTATATAAAATATAGAATATATGATTTAAAAAATTACAATTTAGAATATAAAACTATTATTTAGAACATTCAATTTAGTCCTTTTTAAATATTATTCTACGTGTACGTAATGACAGCATGCACTGTATTAAA